GCCGTGCCGCCGCCACCCCCCCCCCCTTCCAACGGGAGGGACACTAAGTACAGGGGTGGGCAGGGGCTTCTGTTTCTTACCTGGCTCCGGTCCCACGACGATCTGGTCCAGGAAGCGCGGCTGCTCCTTCAGTTTGGCCACTGGATGTTCCCATGGGCTGCTCGGCTCTGCCTCCTCACCGGTGATTGGCCGCCAGAACTGTAGCTCAGGAAAGGCACACAGGCGGCCAATCACCGGCGAAGGGGCGGAGCCAAGCGGCCCTGCGAAAATCGAGTGAAGGAGCGGCCAGTAAGTGTGCAGTGTAGAGGTGCTGCTGCAACCACATATGCTGGCTGCAGCAGCACCATACTAGAACATCGGTCAGCAAGTGTAATTGGTGTCAGTGGGAGGAATAGTGCCCCATCATTGGTGTCACTGATACTATTGATGGGGCATTATTCCTCCCACTGACACCAACGATGGGGCACTATTCCCCCCCCCACTGACACAAACGATGGGGCACTATTCTCCCCCCCCCCCCCACTGACACCAATGATGGGGCACTATTCCACCCCCCACTGACACCAATGATGGGACACTATTCCTCCCACTGACACCAATGTTGGGGTACTATTCCTCCCACTGACACCAATGATGGGGCACTATTCCCCCCACTGGTACTAATGATGGGGCACTATTCCTGCCACTGACACCAATGATGGGGCACAATTCCCCCCACTGATACTAATGATGGGGCACTATTCCTGCCACTGATACCAATGATGGGGCACGATTCCCCCCACTGACACCAAAGATGGGGCACTATTCCTCCCACTGATACTAATGATGGGGCACGATTTCCCCCACTGACACCAAAGATGGGGCACTATTCCTCCCCACTGATACTAATGATAGGGCACTATTCCTGCACTGATACCAATGATGGGGCACGATTCCACTCAACACCAATGATGGGGCACTATTCCTCCCACTGACACCAATGATGGGGTGCTATTCCTCCACTGACACCAATGATGGGGCACTCGTCGCTCTGACACCAATGATGGGGTGCTATTCCTCCCACTGACACCAATGATGGGGCACGATTCCTTCCACTAATACCAATGATGGGGCACTATTCCTCCCACTAATACCAATGATGGGGCACTATTCCTCCCACTAATACCAATGATGGGGCACTATTCCTCCCACTAATACCAATGATGGGGCACTATTCCTCCCATTGATACCAATGATGGGGCACTATTCCTCCCACTGATACCAATGATGGGGCACTATTCCTTCCACTAATACCAATGATGAGGCACTATTCCTTCCACTAACCAATGATGGGGCACTATTCCTCCCACTGATACCAATGATGGGGCACTATTCCTCCCACTGATACCAATGATGGGGCACTATTCCTTCCACTAATACCAATGATGGGGCACTATTCCTCCCACTGATACCAATGATGGGGCACTATTCCTTCCACTAATACCAATGATGGGGCACTATTCCTCCCACTGATACCAATGATGAGGCACTATTCCTTCCACTAATACCAAAGATGGGGCACTATTCCTCCCACTGATACCAATGATGGGGCACTATTCCTCCCACTGATACCAATGATGAGGCACTATTCCTCCCACTAATACCAATGATGGGGCACTATTCCTCCCACTGATACCAATGATGGGGCACTATTCCTCCCACTATACCAATGATGGGGCACTATTCCTCCCACTAATACCAATGATGGGGCACTATTCCTTCCACTAATACCAATGATGCGGCACTATTCCTCCCACTAATACAATGATGGGGCACTATTCCTCCCACTGACACCAATGATGGGGCACTATTCCTCCCACTGACACCAATGATGGGGCACTATTCCTCCCACTAACACCAATGATGGGGCACTATTCCTCCCACTGACACCGATGATGGGGCACTATTCCTCCCCTGGTGTGCATTGGAAGAGGGGTAGTCTTATACGGCGAGTATAGCCCAAACACTACATTTTAGCAGGAAAAGTAGGGTGTCGTCTTATACGCCCAGTCGTCTTATACGCCGGAAAATACAGTATTATAGTTTTTGTGAATTTTTTGTTTAATTCATTTTCATTTTTAATTATAATTCATTTTATATTTTATATCATTTCTTTAAATAATTTATGTGATATTATGTAATCATATATGTATAGGTTTATTTTTAATATTGTATATTGTTTATGTATTTTGGTTAGGTAATAAATTATGTCTGTCATCAACATTATAAAAGCCCAACGATGTTGAAATTTATACCTATGTTCATTGAAAGATTTGAGTAATATATATATATATATATACATATATATATATATATACATATATTAATGTTTGCCCATCATTAGTGAACTTGAGGCGATGGACTTCCGCCAGCTTCAGGGCGTTAATGGCAACTAGTAATGACGGATCATGGTAACCAATGATCATTATAAATGTGTGAGGCTGCACCGCATAACCACTCCCTATGATTAAGTTCAGAAGTGACGAAACGCGTCAGAGGGTTAAGGGGCAACCGGAAGTGGCACAGGATTGTCCGAGAGCGAGGACTGGCAGTGGTGAGAGCATTGTGCGGTCTTCCCTCTCTGATATTACCGATACACTGATATACTCATATCTTTGGGCTTGATTTATTCAGATGTCTTGTAAGTAAGATTCTCGTGCAGAGAATAAATGATTTTAAATAGTACTGCACCATGTCGGGTCTCTATCTTTTATTTTTTATGTGATGATTGTGGGAAGTATCCGCAAGAGGTATTGATACACTGGAGAATTTTAACCATTGCTGGAAGGAATCGTATTGTGTCCTGAGAGATTATCTTTCCTTTGGAGGCAATATTTATACAAAAGCGCAATTGCCAACCTTGAGAACGGAAGGCTAATATTTCTGGTGAGTGTACACCTGAAAGGGGAGCACGGCACAATTGAAGATTTATTTGAATACTTACATGGTGATTTTGGAAATATTGATTAACCATTTCAATACAGGGCAATTTTACACCTTCCTGCCCAGGCCAGTTTTCACGTTTCAGCGCTCTCACTTTGAATGACAATTGCGCGGTCATACAACATTGTACCCAAACTAAAATTTTATAATTTTCTTCACACAACTAGAGCTTTCTTTTGGTGGTATTTAATCACCGCTGGGGTTTTTATTTTTTTGCTAAATTAACAAAGAAAGACCAAAAATTTTGAAAAAAAAACACGTTTTTCTTTGTTTCTGTTATAAAAGTTTACAAATAAATAATTGTTCTTCATAAATTTAGGCCAAGATGTATTCTGCTACATGTCTTTGGTGAAAATAACCCAAATTAGGATGTATTATTTAGTTTGTAGGAAAGTTATAGAGTTCACAAACTATGGGATAGATCTGAAAATTGATCAATCCTGAAGTACTGACAGCCAATCTAATTTCTTGAGGTCCAAAAAAGTCAGAATAGTACAGATATCCCCAAATGACCCCTTTTTGCAGAGTAGACAGTCCGACGTACTTCATAAGAGGCAAGGTGAGTTTTTTGTTGTATTTGTTTTGTCATAATTTTTCGGAAAATGAAAAAATTTAAAAAATTCTTTTCACTATTTTTTTTTTTACATACTGTCACCAGTGCAGTACAGCGTCATCATATAACTGGCATGGCGGTGAACAGGGACACTGACTGGTGATAGTATGAAAAAAAAATATATATTTTTTTTTATTTATTTTTTTTTATTATTTTTAATTTTTTATTACATTTGTTTTATTTTTTTTTTAAGATTTTGTTTTCATATTTTACTATGACAAAAGTAGTACAATGTTACCATAGTAACATTGTACTACTTTGGGGAAGTGATCAGTATTTTTTTTATTTTTTTTTTTACACAATTTGCTTATAGCAAAGAATTACTTTGATTCATTCAGGTTTTTTTTTTTGGTTTTTTTTTTCAGTGCTTAGCTGTGATTTGGCCACAGCTAATCACATGACATGTGCATGTGACCTGCTGTGAGCATTCACAGCTAGGCACTAGTATACAATGGATGGCATGAATGAAGCCATCCATTGTACACTACTGTCATGTGGCCTGCTGTGATTGGTCACAGCAGGTCACATGGTACCGGCAACGGGGGCCAGTACTCAGATCTGTCATCGGCCGTGTCTGTGGTACATGGCCGGTGACAGATCGCACCGCTGCGCGGCTCTGCAACCGCACGAACTGCGCATGTGCGGGAGGACGCCAAATGGCATTTACCCCAGAAATCTGCAGCATTTTTGCGGCCGCCAAACGGCTATAGGCCAGGCGGCTAATGGTTAAATTCACGTGGTGATCACAAAAGGACTGAAATTTATGGACTTTTTAGTTGTTTATCACATGATTATTTACAGAGCGCTGCATTAATATTTCGGAATCACAGAATATATTCCGTGGCGGACTGACCATTTGGAAACTCAGGCTCTGCCCAAGGGCCCGGGGACAGTAGGGGGTCCCATGAGATGCCCCTGGTACCTTTTTTATAGGCTTTTTTGAGTTTGGACAAGGACACAGGGGCCCCATGATCCCCTATTGCCCAAGGGCCCCATGAGTTGTCAGTCCGCCCCGATATATATATATATATGTTTGGAATTTGGAAATAATGTTAGCTTTGAATTTGTAGATAATAACATTTTTAATAATTTTATTTAGTTTGTTGTAACGATAAGTCATCAGTTTTGCATACAAAATCCATCCTCTTTGCATTCTGTACTTCTCTGTATCTGGGTTGGCAATTACTGAGGTATCTAAAGAAATATAGCCTGTCTATTTCTTTCATATATATTGGTGTTTTAACCTTTTATTGCAATAGCAAAGCTAAACTTGGGTAAACACACATCCTTTGGGTTAACTAACGCTTCCTTAGAATTATTAAATGTCCAATAAATACTACTAACACCATGACAATTAATATTATTCCTATTCTTGCATAACCATGTGGATGCAGTTCTTTATCTTTTATCTGATATGCATTACTTTTCTTATAGCTCCTATAACCTCCATGTTTCTTAGAGTATAAACAAATGGGTTTAACATTGGTACAACAGCCACATAAAGCAGAGAAAGCACCTTGTCCTGTTCCTTAGAATGTTCAGTCTCTGGTTTTATGTACAAGAAGATGATCGGTCCATAAAATAACATAACAGTCATGAGATGGGAGGAGCAGCTGGAAAATGCTTTACGGCGACCTTTGAAAGTACGTACCTTAAACACAGCATAGATAATGCAAACATAGGAGGTCAGAATCATTAAAAATGTAAAAAATACCAAACAGATATCTTCCACAAAAAGAACCATCTCTATGCTAGAGGTATTACTAGAAGAGAGTGCCAGCAATGATCTTATTTCGCAAAAGAAATGATCGATCTGATCAGAGTGACAGAATGAGTATTTAGAAGTAAGCAGGGCAAACATCAATGGATTAATAGCACTGAGGAGCCAAAAACAAATCGCCATTACAACATATACCCTTCTTCTCATGACCTGAACGTAATGCAGTGGGGTGCAAACTGCAACATATCGGTCATAAGCCATACAGGTTAGGATGAAGATCTCAGCATCTGCACAGAATATGTAAAAGTAAAGCTGAGTAATACAACCATGAAAGGAAATCTTCTTGTCTTGTAGAGTGATGGACAACAGTTTTGGGAGAATGGTGGAGACATATGTGGCATCTATGACAGACAGGTTACACAAGAAGAAATACATTGGAGAGTGCAGTTGGGGCGTCTTGCAGATCAGCATGGCAATCATCAAATTCCCAGTTACTGCTGTTGTAAACATCATTAAAAAACCCGATAAATATAAAAAAGGTTACAGTTCCAGTATAAGGAAATGCTGTTAAATGGAATTCAGCTAAGCTGCTATTTGTACATTCATCCATTCTCAGCACTTAATAACACAAAATAAAAAAAAAGTTAGTTTTAAGCTGAACCCCAGACAAACAGATTTGTACACAATCAAATATGTATATATATATATATATATAAATATATATATAAAATAACATAGAATATATCTTATAGGAACATTGTTATTAGATTCTGTGCAGCAATATTAAGCCCCAAACCAAAAAACGTAATGTATTGCAGCTTACTAATTATTAGATGTGGGATGTGGTGGCTGCATCAGTTTTCTTTGGCTTTTTCCCCTCTGTTATCACCTGGTGATATGGCCAATAACACACCTCCTATATTAGTGAGACACAATTCTGGATGAATAAGCACAGGAGGCACAGCAGGCAGCTTCATTGCCAGTCTGTGTGTGTGTGTGTGTGTGTGTGTGTGTGTGTGTGTGTGTGTGTGTGTGTGTGTGTGTGTGGGGGGGGGGGTGTAGGGTAGTGGTAAAAATATTAGTAGATTTGAATACAAGTCAAACTCCAGCTCACACGTTTTAATCAGTTACAGTAAACAGTGGTTTTATACCATGGGATAAAGGTTTTACATGAATAAATAAAAACTGATCTTTTTAGTCACCCCTGCCAGTGGTAAATGGATTGTCACATCCATGTAAACTGATACATTCTGCTGGAGAGCTTGTGTTTCTGAAAAGCAACAGACTTGCTGGCTGGATCACCAGATGAAAATAAAAGAAAGCCTAAAAAAGAAAAACATTTACAGCAATCACTTCTAACATTTAATAAGCTGCAGTATAATAAATATTTGCTTTTGGGTTTATTGCTGCTTTAAAATACAGGCAGCGCAGCCAGATCTTTCACCTCCACTGTAATAACAGTACATCTAGCCTGCTTATTGTGCTGTAAAGGAGAAGCAGCTCACTGATGAAGTCATTCTTTAGTTCATTCTTCTCTCTCCTCCTATCTGTATGTCCCCTGAACACTGTACCAGAGTGTGATTGGTTCCACACCTTCCTCTCCTAAACTAGGTGCCACTGTATAGGGGATTTTAGGAGGTTGACATCAAGACAAAATGGGTATTTATTCTGACCATGCTTTAAAATATGAAAAAAATAAAATAAAAAAATGTCATGAGTTGCCCAACTCTGCTGCCCAAACAATAGTGATCCGCGGATTTCATGGCTCTGCAAACTGATCAAAACTGCATGTTTATATTAAGCAAACAAACAAAACACATTTTGTGCACTTTAATATCATTTTTATATTGGTTCATTAATTTATACTATCTATCACTCTATCTGTGAAAGATGCACTTACAAGGTTAATGGCATTAAAATGAATTCCAGGTATGGCATATTTTTACCTAGTTTTATTGGTCCAGCGTTCTCTGATTGGATGAGGCGGAGAGAGTGACATCATTACCCCACCTTTCCATCTCACTCAATCAGAGAACACTTTGCATTCTTTTAGAAAATGCAAAGCAATCACTAAATGGTAATCAATATACCGTATTTTCCGGTGTATAAGACAACTTTTTACCCCTTGAAAATCTTCTCAAAAGTCGGGGGTCGTCTTATACGCCGGTATATGGCATGCTGACACTTTTTAGGGGGGCGGCGCGGTGCCGCCGCCGCCCCCCCTTCCAATGGAAGGGACACACTAAGTGCAGGGGTGGGCAGGGGCTGCTGTTTCTTACCTGGCTCCGGTCCCACGACTGATCCAGTCCAGGAAGCGCGGCTGCTCCTTCATTCTGTTCGGCCACTGGATGTTCGCGCGGCTGCTTGGCTCTGCCTCCTCACCGGTGATTGGCCGCCAGAACTGTAGCTCAGGAAAGGCACACAGGCAGCCAATCACCGGTGAGGAGGCGGAGCGAGTGACCCCGTGAAAATCGAGTGAAGGAGCGGTAAGTGTGCCGTGCAGAGGTGCTGCTGCAACCACATACTGGCTGCAGCAGCACCATACTGGAACAGGGGTCAGCAAGTGTCATTGGTGTCAGTGGGAGGAATAGTGCCCCATCATTGGTGTCACTGATACCAATGATGGGGCATTATTCCTCCCACTGACACCAACGATGGGGCACTTTTCCTCCCCCCCACTGACACCAACGATGGGGCACTATTCCCCCTCCCCCCACTGACAACAACGATGGGGCACTATTCCACCCCCCACTGACACCAATGATGGAACACTATTCCTTCCCCCACTGACACCAATGATGGGATACTATTCCTCCCACTGACACCAATGTTGGGACACTGTTCCTCCCACTGACACCAATGACGGGGCACGATTCTTCCCACTGGTGTGCATTGGAAGAGGGGTAGTCTTATACGGCGAGTATAGCCCAAACACTATATTTTAACAGGAAAAGTAGGGGGTCGTCTTATACGCCCAGTCGTCTTATACGCCGGAAAATACGGTATATAAAAGTCTGCGATGTGGAAAAAAAACATACACTTCTAATATCTGCCTGTACCCAGATTACTAACCCACAAAGGTTGCTATCAATAATGGAATCAGCTTGGTGTGACACTCAATTCTAATTAAACACTTAAAAGGATCATGGTATGTGTTCTATTACTCCTAAAGTGCAAATTATTCCAAAAAACCCGTACTCAACTCAACTTAACATAACACTTCCCCAGTCTAAAGTGCTTATCTACTCCATATACAGTAAATGCACATATGTGCATTAATATAACAGTGCTCTATATACAATGCTCTAAAGAAATGTACAATCCCATGCAGGGAATACCACTACCCTGCAAACCAGTAAACTCTGCTCAAATTGTGCAAAAAGCAATACATACAAGCAATTCGTCATGTGTAAAAAAAGTCCATTAAACAGTAAAAAATGTCCAAAAAAAATTAAAAGTTACAGTATCACAATTGTCCACTTGTGAAAATAAAGTTACATTTGTGCAAAAAATTATATGTATTCCTCAATGCTCAGTGCTGGTTCCACTCTGTGCTCCCCTCCTACTGTACCGCACTCACCGAGACATCCTAGATTGTAAGCTCGAAAGAGCAGGGCCTTCGAACCCCTCGTGTATTGTATTGTTTCTGTCTTGTCTCGTGTTCTGTCCCCCTTGCTATTGTACAGCGCTGAGCAAACCCTTTGGCGGTATATAAATACTGTATAATAATAATAAATAGTCATAAGAAGTCTATACTGCTTAAAATATGGGTACTCTCAGCTCTGTTTATCCCAGCGGTCTTTTTTGTCTGTATTATCTTTAATACTCTCCAAGGATGCATGCATGTGACCAGATGCAGCCTCCTATAGCATAATACTGTATTTATTCAAAGTTTAAAACCAATTAAAATTCACTTACAAAATATAGATGCTGCATTTATACAGGCCAAAAGCGCATTGATATTTCCTATCACCGTCTGATCCCTACACCAGAAGTTTGGAAATGACGAAACATGCCCCACCCAACAATTCCACTAAACCCCCAGGAAGACCCATAATAAGTGGAGATGAATCATTATTTACCTGACTAGGCTAATATATAGGTGGTTCATAGCCGTTGGTGACCAAGAGCAAATCATATTTGGGATAGCAGACAACTAATACCTATGTTGAATGATATGGATATTATTTCCAATTGCATCTTAGCCACCATAGACGTCGATTCACTGTACACAATATAATATAGAAAGATGGGCTAAAAGCTGTGGAATGGGCATTCAGGGCCAAATGGATGTAAAACAGGAACAGATTCAATTTATTCTAGAAGGGTTGGACATGGCTATGCAAAGTAATTATTTCTGGTATATTAAGAAGTATTATGTACAGACAAAAGGAGTAGCAATAAAGCCAAGTATACTCCCAGTGTGGCCAATCACTTCATAAGTAAGTGGGAGGAGGAAAATATTTTTGGAAATTATTGGCCCCAAATAAGACTTTACAGGAGATTCATGATGACATTATAATAGTGTGGGAAGGAGCAGAAAATGCCCTACGAGACTTCTTTAACACCATCAACACTAACCAGTACAACATATCCTTCTCTGGGGAGTGAAATAGAGAAAGCATCCACTTCCTAGAGTTGGATATTTTTATAAGAATTGATAAACTGTGTACTAGAACTTTCTTTAAAAAAACAGACAGAAACAGATATATTCCTACATCAAGCTGCCATCATTCAAAATGGATAAAGGACATCCTAATGGGCAGCTAATGAGAGTAAGACAAAATTGCCAAATGGATAAAGATTATAACATACAGGCAGAAATTCTAGTACATAAATTTGAGGTATATGATAAAAGCACATTGAAAAAGTTAAAAAGGAAAGTGGGGGAAATTAATAGGGAACAAAAAAAAAGCAGAATGCGGTAAAAGGAGAACTACAGAAGGATTTGTCATGGCTTTTTGTACCAGATTTCATAGACATATCAAAAAGATAATACAGAGGCACTGGACTACATTAAAAAGAGATAAGGTTCTGTCTAAAATATTGTCCAACAAACCTACATTTATATATTGGAAAGCACCCAACCTTAGAAACCAGTTGGTTCACAATGTGGTGAACCCCCCTGAAAAAAAAAGTCACATTCAGGGGCGGACT